AAATCATTCAGTTCCCTCTGAATACATTACTTTGTGGGTCTCCAGCATGCAACAGGCATCTTTCCCCAAGCAAAACCAAAGTGAGCACACCTCATCCTTCTTCCTTCTCCAAGATAGCTCCTCAGAGACTTTGGAGCAGACAGTAGCACAGCTCAGTTTCCATAGGAAGCCTGTCAGCTCCTTGGGAGCTGTTTTTCTGCTTCTGCCAAATATACAGCCAGAACTACACCCTGGCCTTGATCTCGGCAGTCAGGATAGGCTGAAGGAACCTGATTAAAGAGTCTGCTTTAGCCAAGTGACCAACACATGCTCTAAATCAAGAGACAGAACAGCAAGCTGCTTGCTGTGCAATTGTACTGTGGTCAGCCAAGCCATTGCCTGCTGCTTCCACAGGAAACTACACTCAACCAGAACATCTGTGATCTACGGGTAAGATGAAAAAGAGATCACAGAAGGCTCAGAAGGGCATGTAGGAGGGTAGAAGGAGGCTCAGAGAAAATGTGAGGTTTTGCTTCTTCCTATATGTTGATGATTCCAGGCACCACTTAACCCATAGTTACGAGGTCTGTGCTGGAAAGAAAGAAATCCAGACTAAAGCTTCTTTTTTGACATATTGATTGAGTCATACAGATGGCTGCATCCCAGGTCCCAATTGGGATACAGATTAGTTAGCCACAAGTTTTTGCAATGTTCTTCTGTCTGAACTCTCCAACTCAAGCTTCCTGCCAAGTAATAACAGTGCTAAGAAAACACACAAATATTAAGTAATACATCTGCTGCTTTTCAGTTTTTCCCTCTTTTAACATTTTAAGGTACTGAAAAGCACCCTTCTAAGAGTAGTTCATTGACAATTTTGGAAGAACATGTTCTACTATACACCAAACATTGTAATATTAAAGACACTTTAAGAAAAGCTATATTTTGCACCCATCTCTGCCTGAACAAACCCCAGAGCCCAAAGTTCAGCTCTAGCTAAAAAGAGAAAGCAAAAAGTAAAAACCAAGTTTCTAAAATCTCTTCTAGATGTTTAATCCGTGCCTAATGAAACCAGGTACCCTGGCCATAAGTGAGCAGACTATTTATCTGCTGTCTGGATATTTAAGATTCAAAGGAAGAGGAGTTCGTGTCATCCATCAGTAAAGCAAGAAACTTGATGGCACCCCAAAAGCCCAGCAATCATTTCAGGTGTGGAGAATCAGCACTGAGACTTGGGGAACTCCAGTTCCTGGTTTCATTTCCTGTGACATTTCCAATGACCTCACACATTGTAGGTCTCTTCCCTCTTCCTCACTCCTTCCTAGATAAAGGACTGATAGGAAAGACATTTGCAAGTATTCAGAAGCCACTCCTGCCTGACCAGCTCATTCCTCACCATTCCCTCCTCTCCCAGGGCTGTATAGGTGGCCTATCCGTCCCTAACTCCTGTAATGGGGAGATAAAACACTCTAGCTGCTTAACAGGGGGCTCAACAATAGTTACTCCACAGCATTTCAAAACTTGGTTTGCTTCTATTTTAGTAATCTTGTCCACCTGCCCACACCACAACCATGCATCTATTCTTCCTGCATCACTCCTCCTCCTTCCCCAGTTCCCCCCATCTCTCCACATACTTCTCTACCTGCTGCTTTTTCCCTTCTCTTCAACTGTTTACTATTTCCCATAGATCACCAGCTGGAGTTCACCTCTCCACACCATTCACACTATCAGCATATTACTCCTGGCCACAGAAATTCAGGTATTTAGCAGCTGATCTACTTTTACATCCCCTCTTTGGCTGTTTTTACCTACTTCTGGCTACAGTATGACTCAGCTCATCTGATTTCATTTCACGCGTACCTGACTGTCAGTCCAAGATCAAAACACGTCCCCCGCCCCCCCAAAATTGTCTCTTATGCTTTGGGGCCTTTTCTTCACAGACAATAGCACCATCCTCTTTGACATCCAGCCTCTCTATGGGCTGGATTCACATCCTCAGAGGGAAGCTGAATCTCATTTTTCAGGCTCTTTCTGAAAATTAAGTTTTAAAACACAACATTCTCTTTCTAACCACATCATTCAAATTCCTTACTGTGCTCCCAAACCTTCCCTTACAGTTATCAACCTGCCTTTTCTTCTAGCCTGACATAATGCCAAACTGATGATGATTGTCAACCCCAAATCCTCCTCATCCCCTCTTCTGAGTGTGTGCCATCCATATGTACAAATCTCGACTTTTCCATCCTTTTCTCTCAGAAGGATGTCAGCCCATGTATCTCAGCTTCCACGGCTTTTGTAGCTTGTTCCTCTCTCTCCTGGAAACTTCTCAAAATCTATCGTGGAAACACAAAAACCCACTCTGTTTTCAAAAAAATGCATTCATGCTTTCTCTGGTTGAATCCAGGATGTGTTTGGGAGGGATTCTCCCTCAATATTTCTTGAAGGTACACTTGACTTTTGAAGCTTTGATACCAATCATCAGCTAAGACATATGTACAGACAATCCTCTTTAAATATCTCATCTGCACATTCTTTTAAGTTAAAACAGTGTTTTTGTGCAGTATCTCTCACAATACTGAGCTCCCACTAGAGCTTTTAATATTCCCTAATACTCTAGTGCTTAAAGTCTTAAGCTACACTAAATATTTAGTGACTAAGTATGTAGTGACAAAAGCAGTGGCTATTATTAGCATCCTTTGATGTCTAATATTAAATTTAAAGCCAAGAAATTCAGTGATTATCCAAAAGCCTCATACTTCTGAAAGTTTCAGAACTGCTGATGCCTGCTTAAGTCACATCCTTTTCTCTTTTACTTTTGCTAGTTGTAGAAGTTTGAAACACAAGAAAGACATTTTTGTCTTTCAGTAGGCAAGAGTCTAAGGTGCTTTAGCTGGAATCTTATGATTGGCCTTTAAACAATCCATTCTCTCATTACACGGCCAACCATTCAGTGACCCTGGATGGGTTCTTAGGATGGAGAATTTTAGGGAAGGTTAATTAGACTTGACCTGCCACAACAAACCAGAAGCTCAGTGCCTCAGAAGGAGTCATATTGCTAAGTGGAATTTTACAGGCCACAAACTGACACTGAGAAAAAGTTTTTTAAAAAGTAAATCCAGGCATGCATATGATTGATAAGAGAGTTACTGTGTAGGCTCAATACTTGCTGATGTACAAATAGGTTGTTGACCTTGAATCTTCAACCTAAGCCTTAGAGCACCATCAAAAAAATTAAGACCAATATTGCTAAATCCAACACCTTGTTAATTTAGTGCTAATGAGTTTCAAAGCATAGGAAAAAAAACATAAACCCTTATAAACTCCAGATTAAAAAAAGTCACCTGATGATAGTTCTAAAAGAGACAATTTGGCTTTTTAAAGCCAAACTGCTGGGGGCAGGGATAGCTCTTCATAAATAGTCCTCTGGGTTAGAGGCTATTTATTGATTTCAGGACTACAAAAAAAAACATTAATAAAACAAGACATCAAGAAGAGCTTAAAATACTTTGTTCTGAAGAGCTTAGGGGAAACAAACAGCTCAAAGGTTCCAAAATATTTTTAAATAATATACATAAGATTTGGGTTTTTTGCTCATGAAAGAGGCCAGACTGGAAGCTGAAGTCACAGATTTATGCCCAGAACAGGTGTGGATTTCTCACACATTGTCTCCTTCCCCACAAACATTCTAACCTGAAAAAACCAACAACATCCACAGGAACCTGACAGTCCCAAGTCCTCCTATTGGGATGGGCAGCATCAGCTGTGGGGATGACTGCAGGAACATACATGCTGCCTTCGAGAAATAGGACCAAGGTCTGGCAAACTCCTTCTATTACAAGGAACAACACAGCCCAAGCAGGAAAAAAAAAATTCTACTTTTCTGAACTGTGTTTATGAGACACACTCAAAATGATCTTCACTTCTTACACAAAACGAGCCAGGAAAGTTGCAGGAGTTCAAATATACTTGGTAGTATTTTTCCTGGTAAAAAACAGGAACCAGAAATGGGAAATCTGCCACTCAGGGAACCAGATTTGAAAGTATCTGTTCTGATTAGTACTCTGTGTACTTCTTGGAAACATGGGAAGGGGAGACTCTAAGCACGTTCTGTATACAGGATAGAATTTGCTTATTTTTCCTGACTCTGGTTTCAGCTCTGCTGTATTGCTTCATGTCACAGAAGCTTCACAAGAAAATGGATATAAATCTCAATGCAGTTTTAAAAGTCTTAAAAATACCAACATGGATACTACATCAAGCCAACTTCTTATATTACTGTCTTTGATCCTAAAGAAAAAAAATAAACATAACAAAATACTATGAAAGTTATATACATCTCCTGAAGACCTGGTCCCAGCTGCCATAGCTGCACTGATTCCAGTGAAGTGAGGATATTTTTTATCAGCTGGGGACTTGGCCTGAAAAAGGTGAAGGCACTCAGCAGCATGTCAAATCAACAGTGTGCATTTAAGCTCATTTTACTTACCATTCAAAGCCTTCATGCTTTGAAAAATAGTACAAAGCTGTAATTCTTGCAGAAACACTAAGAAAGCAATACAGAAATAAGACCCAAACCAATATTCCTTTAAGTTCAGAGGAAGTTCTGCTGAGTTTGAGGGACCTTCACCAGTCAAAATAATGTAACTATTTGTTTGGAGACCTGAGATAGGTTCCTGACAGCAGAAACGAGCCATAGTCCAGTCTGAAATAACTGTTAAATGTTCAGCTTCTCAGGCCATAAGCTAGGATCCTTATTTCTGCACCAAGAATCACCTGATACATGGCCACAGCTGGTCAAATTGTTTTTACAGGTCAAGAAAAGTCAACAGAAGGAGAGTGTTATTTCAGACCACGCAGGCAGACTAGTTCAGCATTTGGTTTGTTCTTTTTTGTTTTTAAATAATGAGAGCAGTCAGTGCTAAAAGTTAATATTGTAACAATTCCTGTGGAATTCAGCTCCCTGGAGACTGCTCCGAAGTCCATGAGCAGCCTGCCCCCAACGCCCCCGTGCTAGCTTCACTTACCCCCAGCCACCTTGCTCCTTTGTTGGCAGCCTGCTGAATCTGCACTTTTTTAAGGGTGACATTGTAGACAGCTCCATCTTCTACCTCTTCACCCCCATCCTGAAATGTGGTCTGCCAGGAAAAAGAGAAAGAAAAATAACATGAAAAAGAACGTTTTCCTCCTTCTGCTGACCACAATCTATCCCAGGTGCTCTGCTGCTCCGAGCAGAGCAGAGGAGATGGGCAGCACAAAGTAAACACAACATTCAAAGCAATCCAGGATGCCCTTAGGTTGTGGGAGCACTTGGAGATATTCTTGGCAAGATTCCTGTGGTATCGAGGTACCCTGACTTTCCATACAACTGTTTTTCCCAGACTAGCACATATTTTAAAAAGTTGCATAAAGTCTTCTAAGGAAATAGTTTGGTTTTGATTAACAGTCGTCTCTTTCCTCCCCGCGTTTCTACAGCAATTAATCTCTTCGGCTTTTCATTTAGGGAAGGATTCGCACTTTTAAAACTGCTGAATTACTTCGGCAGACAGCCTTGAATCTTTGAAGCTACAGAGCACTTAAAACACAGCGACATTTTAATTCTCTTGAGAAGAAGTGATCTGAAACGCTCGTGATTTGCCCTCACAAAAACCCATTCTTTCAAGAACAAGAAAAAAACTGAAGGATAATGAAGCAAAGTGCAATGTCTTTCGAACTTCCAGCAAACGTGTGATGTAGCGGCTCTGCTCGGAACCGGGTACAGCATCGCTGGGCACAGCAAATCCTGGTAGCAGGCACGGCACCGCTGATCACGGCATCGCCGGCATCGGTCGGACACAACACCCCTGGCACTAGGCACATCATCGCCGGGACCGGGCACAGCACCGCCGGGCCTGGGCACGGCATCGCTTGGCACGGCCTCGTCCGGCACCGGGCACAGCATCCCTGGCACTGAGCATCGCTGGGCAGAGGGACCGGCGGCAGGGCAGGGGACGGGACAGGCGGTTACCATTTTCGCTCTCCACAGCAGTTTCATCCTCGGTGTCTTGCCGGGCGCCTGGCCGGACGCGTCGCGCTGCGCCCGCCGCGGGCCGGGCCGAGCCGAGTGTCTCCTGGCTGGCGCGGGAGGGATAGAGCGGGGGCAGGACGGACGGATGGACAGGGGGAGGCGGCCGTTCCTGGCGCCGCCTCGGCCCGGCCAGGCCCGCGCAGGATTTCCTGTTTATGGCCGCAGCCCAGCTCACAGCACCCTGCCTGGAAGTGCTGCCCCGGCAGCCCCCGCTCGGCTCCGCATGCAGCGGACGCCTCCTGCCCGCCTCCCACAGAAGCACCTCCTCCTCATCTCTCTCTTCCCCTCTTTCCCCTCCTTCTCTCCTCTGTCGGTGTCCGGGCAGGGCCGAGGGGAGCAGGGGCCGTCGCGGGTCCGGCGTTCGGGCTGCAATGAGTTTTAAGCTATGCTTAACTTAAAAAACTTACTTCTGCCAGTTGGAAAGTAAGGAAATTAAAGGTTTCAGTAAGCTCTGCCCGGCAATCGCCGACACTGTCCTCACTTTTACCTCGACTTTTATCGCTCACAAAGAAGCACCCGTGAGCCACGCACCTGTGGATGCTTTTATGATAGGCACCTGCGTGCTGACACGACGATCTCAAGACACCCTAAAAACCCCACTAACTTTGTTGCCTCCTGAGCTGTTTTTAGTTACCTTTAGTTAGCTTTTTGGGACTTAAAATAGGGATGATTCAAGTGCACAAATTGCCGTGCAAGGCAACGAAAGTGCTAAGAATTGAAACAGAGCTCAGACCTCCCAAATCCCGACACTGATCTCCAGCATGTTCCTGTTTTATTTCCTCCAGTGTTAGTACCGATGACCTGAGGAGCATTGCAGGCTTAGGGGCTGTCAGCACTTATGCCTCTTAAAACGAGGAATCATACAGAAGCGAGGAAGATTATTTTCAGCTATAAAACCAAGATTGAGCTGTGTGGTCAAGGTGCCCTGATCTGATCACTTGCCAGGCTGTGCTTTTAGTTTACATGTGTGATCCTGATCTGGAATAAACAGACATCGATAACCTGACTCAAATATACTGCACCTACAAACTGAAGTGTAGATTTCTCAGAGTCCTGTGGCTTCTCCTGTAAAACTGCAAAGAGCATTCTGAATGTTTTAGATTTTGCAAACCGCTCTTCCACGTCATAATTTTAATGTGTAGAAAGCAGAGTGTGCATTGAATCCCTCGTGGCCAGCTCAGTAGATGTGTGAGTACCTGCAGAGCAAATTGCCATTGAACAGGACCAACATGCCAGCATATGCAAATGCATATCCAGCCACAAGAAATACAACACCAAAGCCAAAAAATTACTCTGAAATAAAAGCTTTTTTGTTTGATGATGTCCTGGTGCCACACTACATGCACTACCATCACTTTGGGTACCTGTCACAAAGAAATGGCACTTATCTTTCCATTTCTTCACTAAAAAGAAAATGGCAGTGAGTTAATACAGTGGGAAGGAGCTCCTCTATTTGATGCTATTTTGTTTCTCTTGAATTACATGTTTCAGACTGGAGCCTTACAGAACACCTTATGGACAGACAACCTCAGGACTTTCCATTCAAGGAAGAGTACAAGCCCTCTCAAAAATTATGTTCCTGAATCCTCTTGACCACTGACAAATGACAGAGAGAACCTCCATCAGGAAGGACCAGCAGATGATCTCATATGGTTTAGCAAGCAGCAGAAAGCTACCATTTTTATTTATTGGATTTGCCATTAGTATTGCACAGAATTAGATTTTCTTCACAGATTATTTTTAGGGAGATACAATGCCCAGACTTTAGAACCATTGAATTCTTTAGATTGGAAACCATGTCTGAGATCACAGAGTCCAATCATGTCACAATGAAAGGTTACAGAAGGGGCAGTAATCAGACATTCTATTGATAACTGTCTTGTCCTTGGGAAAAGGATATTTCAAGGCCCCTAAAAATCTGCTTTATATATGCAAAGACTGATTATTTAATACTGGAAAAGTGAAAAAGCATATGTAACACTTAATTACATTTAAAATCTATTATATACTGTACAACCACTTATTTGAGACCAAGAGAGAGTCCAAATGCACAGAAAAACATGAAGAGCAACCAGACTGATTAATCTAAAAGATGTTCTGTAAAGATTTCAAGGACAGAAGAAAGCCTGAAAATGAGGAAGAAGAGTTTACAACTCAGTTTAGTAGAACTGCTGGTTTGCTCTTTTAGCAGTTTTTAATCACAAAACTGATCTATAAATGATCATAGATCATTCCAATGAACCATACAGTCAACACTGTATTAAACATTTCGTTCTTTCCAAATTATGTTCACATGTAATAACTACATTCCTGCCATAATCAAGCCCTGTGCCTGCCCTTTTTTACCAAAGCAGAATTGTTCCTCTAATATATCTGAGCACACTGTCCCTCCCACCTGCAACAAGAGAGAAACACAAATCTACTTGTGAATGCAACTTTACACTTCTTACAGTGAAATGTTATAAAAAGAAAATACTTTAGGGTCTGGAAAGCTCTCAGACTGCAGATCATTGACCACTTACAGCCCAACAAGAACTGGCTGACTGTCCACAGAGTAATAAGGCAGTGGCAGAGTGATGATTTTCCCTTGGTTTGAGCTGTTGCTAGAGTTGGCATGAAGATGCCTGCATGGGAAGACAAAGCACAAGATCCGTAAAGCAGCTGGAAATAAAACCCAGCTTGTCTTACTGTCTCTGCTCAGGGCCTGACAGGAGGAGAGGAAGAAACCAGAAGTCAGAGATATCTGAATATGGAAAATATTTGGGAGAGCAAAGGAAAAGGATGAAGCAAGAATGATTACTGACAGCTTCTGTAGGAGAGAAAGAAATCACACAGCCTGAAAGGACAAAGCCATGTATCTGAGGTGTGCACGCAGCTCACCTTCACTGGGGAAGTATGTTCGCTGGGAGATGGGAAAAAACCCACACCACTATAATTTTTTTTTTCCTTCTTTAAAAAAAATTAAAAATACACTCCTTGCATTACAAAAGCCATAAGTTAAGCCATGGTTTCAAGAAGGTCCTTTTAATGGCAGCACCAGCTCAAGCCATTTCCACTCCTTGGTGCTTGAGTAGGCCGGGAGACAGAACTGCTTGTGTGTTGGTTATGTGAGACACTTCCTAGTAACCATGCCTTTGTAGTCAACATTTTTACAGTATTTCCTTTTTCTCCAAAGCAATGCTACCTCAAGGGCATTACCTAACCCATAACTGAAAAAGAAAATTCCATGAGACACTGTTCATTCCGTAGGAAATACAAGAATCTATCATATAGAATAAAGCCTGTCCAAAGAGACACCCCTGCAATGGATGATGCCTTTGAAGTGAGTGCATACAAAAGAAAATAAATACTGTTCCTGTTAAGACTATCTCATTGATTGTTATTCATCTGGTTTCTTTAAACCATACTAAGTTCTTGCTTTCTGTTTATGGAATATGCTCTCAGTTCAATAACTAACAAGTGCCATTGCCTACAGTTCTGGAGATGGAAACGAAAAAAACAAAATCATATGCAGGTGAACCACAAAAGCTAGATAATGCAGACACTAGAGAAATCCAAACACAAATCAGTTTTGTACTGTGTTTTTTTGACAGCCCACTCTGACATGTAGCTTGGCTGCAGAGAGCTCTTCACCATAGACACTACAGGAGATTCACCTAGGAGTGTTCCTTTACGTTGTGCACACCGAAGTTCCAGCTTCCCACTCCATTGTACAGTTTGTCATGAGCTGCTTTAGAGCTGCTTAATATTCAGTGCACTGCAATCTCCTGAAGGTCCTTTATGGCACAAAGCACCTCACAGGCAATTACCTCACATTTCCATCAGTATGGGCAATGCTAATGCACATGCTGTGAGCTGATGTAGAGGGGAGCAGAAGTAAACCAGGTCTTCCATCTGCCTCAGCTGAGATTAATTAACTTGGTTAAACATATTCTTTAAATGACTGAGATGCACTATCATTACACATCAGCCAGTCAGAAAAGTTGTTAGCATCAAACATTGAATTTCAATTACAAACTAACTAATCAAAGCGAACAAAATGCTACATTACACACTGTGTGTCTGCTTTTTTACTTTCTACAACCTTGGCAAGCCTCACTCCTGTGCAAAAGGGAAAACACTGCTCCCCCCTCACTCTGAAAGATGTGACATTGCAGTTGCAGCTCAGTAAAGAGCCAGACACACAAGTCCATCATAATCTGTCTTCCTGGAAACCAGAACTAAACAAAAGCCTTCGAGTAATTGCAAATATTAACCAGCTTCATTGTAAACTGCCAGAGGAAATGCATCAGAGCTCCCATACATAAAACTAAATTAATGATTCTTAAGGCTGCATAATTAACTATGCTAAGTCAAAAAATTATGTACTTAAGGAAGCACATTCAGCCATCCCTGGCCCTCTGATTTCACATGTGATTGCAATTAGATAGTCATGCACTGTTTCACAGGCTGTGCTGTCCAAAGGGACATAATCTCAGATCTGGGGGGCATATCTCCTTCAGGATCAGCAAGTCCCTGGACTCCCATTGGGAAAGCCTTCAAAGCAATCCTGCATGTAAAGCCAGGGGCACATTGCTGGGAAAGTGCACCCCTGCTATGTCGTGGGGAGTAACAACAGCAGATTGTTACTGGATTGTTACTACTAGATAGAGGTGCCCTGAGCCTCTGCCTACAGAGGAGTGCAAATAGGGCGTAAGAGTCTGGGCTTAACCCTATCCCTACTCATCCATATCTTATCCCTACTCACTCTCTGGGCTCCTTGGAAATGACCTGCAGAAGAAGAGACTTCAGGTCCTAGAACTCGACTTTCAGTTTCATGGATCACAAAACATGCAGAAACTTTTTGTAAACCATAAGTGCTTTGAGAGGTTTTCTGTTCCCGTTCCATGGCCACGTGACCCTGCAGCTTCAGAGCAATATCCTTCTCTAATATTTTGTGCTGCAGAACTCCTCAGTTGCTCACAGTAAATACTCTCTACTGCACATTTCAGCAGCTTTGAAGGAAGAAACA